GAAAGACCAATGTGTACCTTGACGTTCTGCCTGAAGGCGCGAAGTGCTTCTTAGACGGTCAGCGACCATTGATTCGTATGGCAGGCATGCCCCAGCTTCGGCGCTCCGGTTGACAGAGGTCCTCGCCAGAAGCAGAAGAACACCTCTCGCGTCCTTCACCCTTTAGGGGACGACCGGTAGTATAATACTGACATTGGCGTGCGGTGATTGGGTGGCGGGTTTCCTGCACCTGTCCTTTAATAACTTTGTAAATTGCCAAAGGGTGAATTCAGTCCTGATAAAGGGGTTTCCGCAGGGTTTCCGTTCATGTTTGTTAAGCTTCTGGAGGGTTTCCCTGGGTTTCCCTACAGTTTCGCGAGGGTTTCCGCGGGGTTTCTGGGGGTTTCCGTGGGTTTCCTTAGATTTCGTGCATGTGTTAAAACCTATTGGATGGTTTTGGTAGGTTCCTCAAGGGTTTCGTGAGGGTTTCCGTGGGATTTCGTGCAGTTTTTGAACTTTCCGGAGGTTTTCCTTGAATTTCTCTAAAGTTTTGTGAGGGTTTCCGCGGATGTCCGTGGGTTTTGTCAAGTTTTGCCTTGGTTTTTTAAAAGCTTTCAGATGGTTTCCCTGGGGTTTTCTAAGGTTTGCGGGGTTTCAGTGGGTTTTGTTAGATTTTGCGTAGGTTTTTGAAGCTCTCGGAAGGTTTTTCTAATGTCTTGTGAAGGTTTACCGTGGGTTTTCCATGGTTTTTGACAGCTTTGAAGGGGTTTCCGTTGGTTTCTTAGGGCTGTGTGAGGGTTTCCGCGTGGTTTGTGTGGGTTTTCTTATATAGGTCGTGCGCAGCTCTTTAAAGCTTCTAGTAGAGCTTTGTGAGGGTTCCTGCAAAATCTCCGCGGGGTTTCGATTGGTTTTCTCATGCTTTGCGCGGCTTTGGTCAGAAGCTTCAGCGAGGGTTTCCATGAGCTTCCATGGCACCATGGATTTCCTCAGCGTTACTTCAAGCTTTGGAATTTGTCACATGGTGCGGTCGGGGCTCGTCCAGATAGGCAAGATGCAAGCGGCGCAGTTTGTCGTGCGGCTTTGCAGCGCTGCTAGGAGGTGGATGCTGATGGCAGGGAGAAGCAGAAGTGATGCGGCCAGGCAGCCAGGAGCCGCTGGGGCTAACCCAGCTGTATTTTTCCGCAGGAGTAGGTCCGAGTAGGTTTTCCATATGTGCTCCGGGTCTTTGCGCAGGAAATTGTTCCGAGGCGAGATTCTGGGTCCGCTTTTGTGTGCAAAAGTCACGTCCGCTTGTGCGTGGCCTCCCCGGTGCCCGTTTCTATTATGTTGATCACTTCCGCAAGAAAGCTGCCTGTGGGGGGTCGTTGTTCTTAAAAAAAAAATTCTCCACGCTAGGAGCTTGCCTGTGGGTCAGAGTTGCTGTAGCGTCGCAATCTGGGGAGCGCAGGGGCTCGAAAAATGCAGATTTAGCGACACCAAAATTGGGGCCGCCAGGCGGCCCCAATTTTGGGGTCGCAGTTCCAGCCTTTTCATGTATTTACACATTATAATAAGGGAAGCTGGGTGCATTTCGTGGCCCCATTTTTGGGGCCGCGAGACGGCCCCATTTTTGGGGTCGCAAGTTTGAGCCCTGGGCTCACGCAGCTGGGTCTCGTCAGCGTGCCTGCGCCTGCCCTTGTTCCAGGAACCTTGGGGAGCAGCGTGCAGAACATAAGCTTGGGGATCAGGGGCTTGTCCGAAGCAGCTGCTTGCTTTTGTAATGCTGCAGCAGAAAGGGAGCTGCAACTGTGGAGGCCACTTTCATGCGGTTGTCTTTTAGCTTGTGTTTAGCAGCCCTAAATGTTGTTCCTTGTTTACAGGAGATTTCGGAGATTTGCGTTGTTTTGCGTTTGTTTGCTATTTTTGCAATGTACTTTTGCTTTTGTTTGCACGTAGACCTGTTTTGCTGGATTTTGTGCCGGATTGTTTTTTCAAGATGCCTTGAGATCTGCAAGACTCTCAGAGACTTTTGCTAATTTTTGCGCCTACGGGCCATGTGTCTTCAACAGATTGCATCTGAGCCGCTGCTCGCTGAGCGCTCTTGCCTCAAGCAGCTCCTAGGCCACAGCTAGCGTACTTGCGCCATGTCTGCCACGTCGGAGCCTGATTTGTTGGCCGAAAAAAGTGCCCAGACATAGTCCGTAGGGTCCATGTTTGTGCTTCCAAGGTGTCGCAAGCCCTTCGCAACTCGCTCAGCGAAGTACTCAGTGGAGGAGGTTGCCGAGGTCTTCAAGGCCGATTTTTGGCGATGCGAGAGGCTTCACATTCGTTGCGGGGCGCAGGCGCGGCCGGCCGGTGCGCGGCCGGAGGTGTCCAAGCTCATCCGTGCGCTGCTTGGTGGCCTAGCTGTGTATGGTTGTAGCAACAGCCATGCGCGGGGTCAAAGCTTTGGGTGCAAGAAACCAGTCATGCCTTCAGTCAGGTCCTTGGGTTGAGTCTGACATGAACCCTGAGGCAGGAAGTCAGTCTTGTTCTATAGCAAGTTGTGACGTGGACGGTGAAGCCAGGCAGACGTAGACTGTATTCCTTTTTCTGAACCCGATTGGTGAAAGACCAATGTGTACCTTGTTCTGCCTGAAGGCGCGAAGTGCTTCTTAGACGGTCAGCGACCATTGATTCGTATGGCAGGCATGCCCCAGCTTCGGCGCTCCGGTTGACAGAGGTCCTCGCCAGAAGCAGAAGAACACCTCTTGCGTCCTTCACCCTTTAGGGGACGACCGGTAGTATAATACTGACATTGGCGTGCGGTGATTGGGTGGCGGGTTTCCTGCACCTGTCCTTTAATAACTTTGTAAATTGCCAAAGGGTGAATCCAGTCCTGATAAAGGGGTTTCCGCAGGGTTTCCGTTCATGTTTGTTAAGCTTCTGGAGGGTTTCCCTGGGTTTCCCTACAGTTTCGCGAGGGTTTCCGCGGGGTTTCTGGGGGTTTCCGTGGGTTTCCTTAGATTTCGTGCATGTGTTAAAACCTATTGGATGGTTTTGGTAGGTTCCTCAAGGGTTTCGTGAGGGTTTCCGTGGGATTTCGTGCAGTTTTTGAACTTTCCGGAGGTTTTCCTTGAATTTCTCTAAAGTTTTGTGAGGGTTTCCGCGGATGTCCGTGGGTTTTGTCAAGTTTTGCCTTGGTTTTTTAAAAGCTTTCAGATGGTTTCCCTGGGGTTTTCTAAGGTTTGCGGGGTTTCAGTGGGTTTTGTTAGATTTTGCGTAGGTTTTTGAAGCTCTCGGAAGGTTTTTCTAATGTCTTGTGAAGGTTACCGTGGGTTTTCCATGGTTTTTGACAGCTTTGAAGGGGTTTCCGTGGGTTTCTTAGGGCTGTGTGAGGGTTTCCGCGGGGTTTCTGTGGGTTTTCTTATATAGGTCGTGCGCAGGTCTTTAAAGCTTCCAGTGGAGCTTTGTGAGGGTTCCTGCAAAATCTCCGCGGGGTTTCGATTGGTTTTCTCATGCTTTGCGGCTTTGGAAAAAGATGTCAGAAGCTTCAGCGAGGGTTTCCATGAGCTTCCATGGCACCATGGATTTCCTCAGCGTTACTTCAAGCTTTGGAATTTGTCACATGATGCGGTCGGCGCTCGTCCAGATAGGCAAGATGCAAGCGGCGCAGTGTGTCGTGCGGCTTTGCAGCGCTGCCAGGTGAGGTTGTGGAGGTGGATGCTGATGGCACAGGGAGAATCAGAAGTGACCGCTGGGGCTAACCCAGCTGTATTTTTCCGCAGGAGTAGGTCCGAGTAGGTTTTCCATATGTGCTCCGGGTCTTTGCGCAGGAAATTGTTCCGAGGCCAGATTCTGGGTCCGCTTTTGTGTGCAAAAGTCACGTCCGCTTGTGCGTGGCCTCCCCGGTAGAGGTAAACAGAGCAGGTGCGAAAACCAAAGAAAACCACCACAACAAAACACAACCACCCAAACCCGCAGCAAGCCAAAACCAACCAAACTATATGTTTCCGCGCTTAGTACTTAAATGTCATCGAGCAGCAGAGCATGCGCAAGGGTCGCAAAATGCGAGAGTTTGCCAGATATCAAAATCACCATCATGAAGCCACTGGTTGCAACGAAGGTTAGCACGGAAGCTGTAAATCAAAGAAGAACAACAGTGGCAAAAAGAAAAGGTATTGACCGAGAAGAGGCAAGGCCAGCACGCGGGGTCTGCCAGTGGAACCTGTTAAAGCAACAACGGATGCAAACCAGCCCAGGGCACCCCGTGTTGCACCTGACAGGTAAGCGACAAACGATTGTGCAAGAGTTGCAGCTTGATTTGCATCAAGTGCCTCTGTCGTTGATATTGGCCGGTCTTACCGGGTCTGTGCAGCAGCAATGTCAGAAACCATGCTTCCAAATTATGAAAATCTGGCAAGCCTGTGACTTAAATCGATTTTATGCACATGGGTCAGACTCAGGATGGTTAAGATGGTGGACCGAATTGAAGAAGGAAAATAATTTTCAGAAAATTATTCTCTGCGTGCGTGGGCGATTTACGACGCAGCTTGGTTATTTAACAGGTCCACCTGCATTGACGAACGCAGAGTACAGCTTTCCAATTGGTCTTTGAAAGACGGACAGAAGGAACACTGGGAGGCAAGATATGACGTGATTGCGTCAAAGAAAGGAAATTACGTCAAGGTCTGTGTGAAAGAACGCAAGTGTTCCCGTGACAAAGAAAACAAAGGGTTTAGGTTTTGGGGTTTTAGGATTTAGGTCCAGTTTGGCAGCAAGAGAGCAAGCGATCCGCGAGGGAGCACGCCAAAACAATTTCTCCGGGTCTGATACACTCCGCAATGGTGGGCACTCTTGTGGCCACTTTGTCGAAATGTGTGCATGCTAAATTTTCTGAAAGGCTCTCAGGCTTTGGTGCTGCTTTTACAGGGTCCTGTTAAACTTTCAATGATGCACAGTGCAGACTGCCAACTGGCAGTAAAAGTTTGGTTACCAGTTTGCCCGCAAGAAGGTAAGGCGTGCCATGCAAGTGGTCGACAGTGGGGGGCATCGACATTGTGATGCCAAAGAGTTTGCTAAGGCAGTGCACTCCTCTTTGCAAGGCCCCAACTTTGGTTTTGGACTGCGTGTGCCAAGTGCTGGAAAGATTGCTAAGCGTGGATACTGCCCTGATGCTGCGAACACGTCGGTTGAACCGCGAGGCTCTTCAGGATGGGGGGGTGGTGAGGTATGTCATGATTGACTTGTCCGTTCAGGGTCATTTTGATTTTGAGCTGATCCGGATAACGTCCTTGAGAAAGAATGCTTGCGCAGACCTTTTTGGTGCTGCGTTGGAGAGCAGCGAACTTTGGGGCTACTTGGAGAGGATGGAAGATGAGGTTCTGGCAGACACCTATGATCGGGAAGTTGAGCTTCAGGCTGAAATGTGGGCCAGCATTGACACACATCTGGCACTGGCGGTAGTGTTGGGTTGTGCACACAGCAAACTTTTCCATAAGTTTCATGCCGCAGTTCATTGCATTTTCTTGGAGACAGGCAGTGCTTTGGAATTGCAAGACTTTTGCCGTTCAATCTTCGCATTTACATGGGGTTACACAACGTGCCTCCAGTCTTGGTGAGAAGGGTGTTGCCCTGGGTTGCACATCTCGACACCGCCGCTGGCGCTGATGACCGCGATTTGGCACCACCTGTTGAGCACGAGGAAGACGCCCACGCGACAGTCAACTTCAGCAACTCTGTGGGCATAGCAGGTCTATTGCACATCATTCACAACTCAACTATGGACTTGGGGAAGTCGATGCTTTTTTTTGACGAGGCCGTCAAGCACTTGACGCACATCTCAAAGCTGTTGTGCAAAAAGGAATCACGCCAGCGTTTGCTTGAGACTTGCTTCTCTGACCGCATCGGCAGGTACCTTCAAGCAGACGTCAAGGGCTTCAAGGCGAAACTCAATCCATCCCGTTGGGGAAGCCTTGCCCACTGTGTTGTAGAAGTTTTGAAGATTGAAACAACCCTACGGTTTGGCTGGAATTTGAACAAGTACGGCGCGGCCCGTGATGCAGATGATGCAAGTGGCCATGGCGTAGATTTGACTGTGATAGATTCTGCGCTAACCTCACGAGAGTTCTGGGGCGTGCTGAGAATGATGGACTCCATTGCGAAGGTTCTGAACTCATGTTTGCATTGGGTGGAGTCTTGTCAATGCCACAGTCATTGGCCGGAAGACGAAATGCCCAAGAAAGTGAAACAACTATGGGCCACTTGTCCCCTCAGAGGTTGTCGCGCGCCTGAGCTGGCGTGCGGTGATTTTCAGGCGCTCATGCGAAGTTTGAGTGGAACCAGCGCATCAGAGCTCTTGGCGACATTGCCGAGAGACATATCTCAAGAATCTCGTGCTGCAATCTTGCAGGATTTCCAGCGAGGACGTGCCCATTTGCTTTTTGTGGTCAACCTGAGATTGGCTCACTGGAAGGAGGCGCCGTATCTTGTCTTCGGCTGTGCCCATTTGGACAGGCGAAAGTCAAGAGAGTGCCTCCGGAGATGCATTGCCATGCCAGCTACCACTCCACTTCTTGCCACGTTGCAGCAGAATCCTGTCAGGGAGCAGGTGGATCGCTACTTGAACGGGGAGGAACTTGCAGCTGTGCCTGATCTAGCGCAGTTTTTGGGCATGCTGCGATTTTGCCCCATAGCAGAACGTGCTGTGGAAGGGGATCATGCTCAGGCCGGGATCACGAAGTGCCTCGTGTGTGTGCGTGTGTCTTCAAAGCGCTGTCTAGGTCCTGAGGGGGCTGTTGGCTGTCGCTGAACTCTTTTCATTTTCGGTTCAGTGTCAATTCGGGAAAGCAGAGAAAGAATGGCTAGACAACACACTATTCATAGCTCTGCTAGGATCATCCGTGATTTGAAAGCACCTTGAAGAAGGAGAGCGGGAGAAGGAAAGAGACAGAGAGAGAGAGAGAGAGAGAGAGAGAGAGAGAGAGAGAGAGAGAGAGAGAGAGAGAGAGAGAGAGAGAGAGAGAGAGAGAGAGAGAGAGAGAGAGAGAGAGAGGGGAGATGACAGTGCCAGTGCTAGGCCATAGTGCTCTTTCGCCAACAAAGCCATTCTTGCTGTTGTGCATTCTGTGCATTCCTTGTACCCTGCGCCTTGCCCCTGCAGATTCACAAAAAGATTGCCCTTGCCCGCAACCACACTCCAGCCTATGTCAGCTTGGCTCGCCGCATGAACAAGCTTCGAAGTGACACAGCGGCGCAACCGGAGATCTTCAAGGAGTTGGCATCTTTCTATGATCAGGTTCACAGTCCTGCAAGAGCTCTGAAAGCGCTTGGTTTGCAGCATCACCCATCCACTTTGCGCATTTGTGGGTATCGTGACCCAATGCACATGAAGATAGTTTACCATGCAGACCCGGCTACGATGTACCAGCGAGAGCAGCCATGGTCAGATCTTGCTCCCCCTGCACCTCCTGACAGCGACAGGCTTCACCACCAACCTGCGCCTGATGAGTCTGAAGGTAACGGTGACGGCCGCCTGGAGCCTGCAGCTGATCCTTCAGATCAGCCAGTGCCAGTGCAAGCTCATGACAATGAAGCACCGGTCGGTGCTCTGTCAAAGTCTTCAGATAGCCAGCCTCCCCGCAGGGTCCGGGGAAAGCAGTCGGATGTTCATGCTGTTGAGTTGCAGTCGCGTGATGAAGCAGTGGTGGCCTTGGGATTGAACAACGCTCTGGTGCCCATGACAGATGATGCTGTTTTGCAGCGGTATGCTTTGCAGTCCATGTCTGGGCTTCTGGATGATTCAACTTCAGTGTCTGACAAAATCTACTCCATGCCATTCAGTAACCAGGCACTTCGAAGCTTGCGCTGGGCAGCCTGCCGGCATTCAGACGATGACCCTGTGCCGGTCTTGGATTGGGATTTATTCAGCTTGCGAGGTCATGTGTTTATGCAGATCATTCGCAAATCCGTTGGGAAGGTTGTTGTGCCTACCCGCACAGGTTTCTCCAACACCGACTGGGCGGTTTCCTTCTTGAGGGTTACGGCAGTGAAGCGGCTGGGTGCTGGCTTTGGCGTGGTTGTCAACTCGAGCCCTGTCAGTTTACAAGACTTGGATTGCGACGAGTCTGCCACTCCTGTGGTACTCTGCCTGGAAGCTTTGCCTCTGGAGTCATTGCTGGGCATGAGGAAATGGGAGAACACAAGCAATCTTGCATGTCATCTAAGAGTGCCAGCAGACGATCCTGACAAGCTTGCCTTTGAAGATTCTGCGTGTCAGTCGTTGTTGAGTGATTTGCTGGCAGCCGGTTCCTACACCGTTGCAGGCAACGACCCTTTGCACACCGAGAAGTCTCAGCTGTTGGAAAAGCTTGAAGCTCGGGACTGGGCTAGGCGTGACAAGGATGGCGGCTGGGCAGTGACAAAGAAGGGCCACAGGCGCGTCGAAGTTGAGACCGTCTTGACAAGTTTGGGGAAAGTGTTCGAGGCTCGTGATGTGGGGCTTCAGGACATGGAAATGGTAGAGCTGTTGTTGACTCTTCGAGATCAAGGCTGGCACCACCAAGGGCTGGAGTCCAAGAGACTTTTGGACAAAGGCGCAGCGTATAAGCTTGAAGATGAGAAGATTTGGTATTACCTCAAGACAAACTCATATCTTTGCAAAGATTACCTTCTCTGCCTGCTCAAAGCAGAACAGCATGGCAGCCCTGTTCCACACCTTCAGCCTGCCAACGTGTACGCACAACTGCTAGGCAAGCCAGGGTCCACCCAAACTCGTCGCAGGAAAGAGAATGCCTTGATTTTCATGGATGATGAAGACGTTTGGGTGGCAGAGTCAGCTCTTGTACCTGTGCGAGCTCCACGAAAAAGAGCCCGTCTTGGGGTTCAATCGGCTCCTGCGTTGGAGGATGCTGACGATGCTGACATGGGCGAAGAAGGCGTTGAGCACGATGTTGTTGAGGCTGAGTCCGAGGCAGAGGCCCACGCTCCAGAGGAAGCTGCAGCTGGAGAGGCGGAACCCAGGCCAGATGCAAGTTCCTCTTCATCTTCTTCAAGCAGTTCTTCTTCTGGTTCCAGTTCACAAAGCAGTGGGGGGTCTGATTCCTCATCTTCTTCCTCCTCTTCAAGTTCCGATAGCGAGAGCAAGCAGGGTGGCAAACGTGCTGGGAGGAGGGCAGAGGGTTTGACGAGAAGACGTGATGTGGCCACATCTTATGGTCTCTGTCGCATAACTCCCACAAAGACCGGCTTCCAGCTGACCTGTAAGCACCCCAAACATGATTCCGGTACTGCGGCGTGCACGAAAACACGAAGTTCCAAGATCGATGGTCCGGAGGTGACCTTGAGAATGTTGAAGTTTTGGGCCCAGAAAGGCCGCCATGTATCTTCCAAGAAGGAACATCAGGGCCGATGCTGGCAAGAAGTTTTGAAGGCCTTCAAGAATGGCACTCTGCCATCTGAAGAAGAGTTGAATGCAGCGCCCGTGAAGTCTTACCCTAAACGCTGAACCGCATTGGGGCTTGGCAGTTGCTGTGTAGCAGCTTTGTAGACCACCCTCAAGCTAACAAGCTGAACTCTGGTGTGAACTTATTTATTGTGTTGACTGTTTGTTTTGCATCGTGATGCAAAAGGATCAGCGTGCAGCTCAGCCAGCTTGCTGCTCCAGACCCCAGACAGAGTCTCAGAAAGAGGTCGTGCCGTTTGTTCAGTTTGCTTGAGCAGACGATATTCTGTTTCAGGTGTTTCAGACTTATAAGCTTGCTGCTGTAGAACGCAGACCGCACACCTCAGAAGTTTCACAAAAGCACCGCAGAGCGTCAGTTTGTCAGAAAATCCACGCAAACTCGCGAAATCCCCAAAAATCCCCGAAACCTTCTTTGCGGCAGAGTTCTGGTGCGGTTGGTGCGGTTGGGTTTCCGGTGGGGCTTTGGGACGGCCTTTGGGGGTCCCTGGGGTCCTGCTGGGGGCCTGGGGCCCGGCTGGGGATGGGCGCTCGGAATGCTCGAAATTCGTGGGCTGCCTGCTCGGAATTTTTGCTGGGTCGCTCGGAATTTTTGCTGGTCGCTCGGAATGCTCGAATTTCGCCCTTCTTAGCCACCTCTTTGACTTGCTCGGAATTGGGGCTGGTTGCTCGGAATTTTTGGGGGTTGCTCGGAATTTTCCTTGGTTGCTCGGAACGCTCGGAATTGCTCGAAATTGCTTTGGGCCCACGAGCCTTGAAACCGTAGGTCAAGGCCCGTTTAGGCTCTGAGCCTCCCCGGGCCTCCCCGGCTGGCAAACCGGCGGAGCAATTGAAATTTCGTTGATTTGCGCGGCGTCTACGGGCTCGTTGTCAAAAGTGCCAGAATGCCTAAGGTCAGTAACAATCGTTGGTGGTTGAGTGGCATTGTGACAAAGTTTCATGTTCATGCGTGGTTTCCAGGTAGTTCCAGGCTCCAGGCTCCAGGCCGTGCTCTCAACTCTCAACTTTCAATGATTGTCATTGATATAGGATATCGAAAGCTATGGCAGCTATGAGAGAAGAATCAGAAGAATAAAGATGCAATTAAACTCACAGGCGCAAGAACTACTATTGCCTGACTGCCTGACAACGTGTCTTTTCTAGATTTCTAGGATTCTGGGATACCATTGTCGGCAGTCTGCCGCAGTCATGCAATGTAATGCCCGGACTGTGCTGGCCAGTTCCCTGAGTGTTCTGAGTTCTGAGATGTAGGTGAAGCAGTGTAGCTGTCCCAAACTCTACGTCTGTCACGTCCCCAATCCTCAGAAATCAGAAGGGCACAAACAAGTGTGCCTAGCACAAGCAGTGACAAGCAGCAGAAACAATTTTGTTGTAGGCCAGCGGTGCATCATGGCAGAAGCAAGCCGGGTCTTGCGGCCTGGCCCGCAATCGCTGGATGAGCTGTGCAGCTGGCCACTTACAGTCGTTCAAAGCCTCGTTTCTGCAAAGGATGGCAATGATGGAGAGCGGTTTAGTCGTTTGAAGGCCTTGCTGGGGCGAGGGCTCTGGATCGATTCTGATTACTCCGGAATTGCTGGGGAGCATGAAGTGATGCACCAAATGGTGGAAGCGTTGAATCTGGTTGCGTCAGGTTCTGGCGTAGAAGCCTTGAAAGATGTCAAGATAGTACATGGACGCTTTTGTGACAAGGCAAAGCAGCAGCAGCAGGTTCTGCGCTTCATCAGCAGCTTGCACAACAACAGCATTTGTGTTTTTGACGACTTGAACGACCGCCTGCCTGAGACAGCCCGGGCAGTCTTGGACAATATGACCCCGAAGCAGAAGATATCAAGCAAGGAAGCAGCGGACCTGTACCGGAACATGTCAGAGTGGCTGATGGAGAACCGTGCCTGGGTTTTTGCGCAGGAGAATTCGTGCCAATGCTTGGTTCATGACAGACGCTGCCGTGTGGTGAAAGATGCAGAGACCTCAGAGACCGATCAGACCATGCTGTCACCGTCACCGTTGTCGAGCCAGTCGGAAGAAGAAGAAGAAAAGTTGTCTGCAGCATCCTGGTCGCGGGATAGCTGCAACAGAAGGCGGGGCACGTGGTACCCCGAGGGATTGGAGCTATCCAAGCTCCTCTGCATCAGGGTCAGCCTGACTGTCGCTATTGTTGTATCTAGTACTTAAGACTTGAGCTCTGACTTTGCACAAATCAAGCAAGAGCTCGATGTCTGTTGCCTGCCTCGGGCGAGGCCACGCAAGTTGCCTGAAAAGCAAGTCAGGCATGGGATGGCTAGTGGATCTCAGTCCTTTACATTGCCACTCGTGCTCTCGGCCGGAGTCAAGCGAGTGACAGAATGCACATCTGGGAACCTGCAAGTGCTGCGTGAAAGCATAACGAGCCTGTGACACGTAGTGTGCTGTGGTGATGGCACGGATATGCGGACGGTGATGCAAGGCATGGTTGCGCCATTGGGTGGCGGCAGCCTTAGCCCTGGGGCTTGCCTCTCTCCATGTCACATCATGGAGGGCCAAAGCAGCCTTGGAACCTGAACGCAAGAAGAAACCCCATTGTTGGGCTCTCCAAGCTTCGCGCAGGGCATGCGCAATGGCACGCTGACCGTCATTCGGGGCCAGATGCACTGTGAATCCGTCTTGCTGACGGGTGTCAGGGCTGACGCCCGTGGCGTCGAGTTTGAACATAGCAAGAGCGTGGGTCCATGTCCATGGGCCCTGTTCAGCCCAGCCTTGACGCTTGAGCCATTGCCGGGCCATGGCAATGGGCCCTTGGTTCTGGACGTTTCCAGTCCAGCAACTGCGCATTTCAGGGGTCACGTGTGATAGGATATAGATGGTTTGGCATGCACCTACTTGGAACCTGGGGTCGGCAGCGTGGCCTGCCAAGAGCCTATGCAGGGGGCCAGAAGCCCCTAAGGAGTCAGTGCGGCCCCAACAGGAGCGAAGAGCCGTCTGTATGGGTGCAATCTCACTTAGGTTAGGGATGCGTGACCAGCCGCCTGAAGTGGCGACGGCCATGCCAGAGCCTTTTGCAAACTTCAGCTTTTGGGACTTTGCAATTGGCAAACGAGTGACCTCAAGGATAAGCCTTCGGGCAGAAAGCAAACGGTCAGTCTCATCTTGCGAGGGCCCAGTCCAGGCACGGGTCAGCTGGAGTCGAGTGCCTAGGATCTTGGGCCTATCCACAACGGTGCCCTCAGTGCGGGCGTTGGCAAGGAAATTTTGAAGGGATCGCTGCTGAGCGACACCTCCAGTGGCGGCAAACTCAGCTTTGCTCCGGTTTTCAGCCAGGCACAGGAGACGGAGCTCCTCTTTCCAGAAGCGCGCTGTGGAGGCGCAGCGCTCCAAGGTGGAGGTGAACCAGCTTCTGTCATCTAAGTAGATGCGGTTGAGCTGTCTGCCAGGAAGCGGATCCAACTTAAGTTTGATGCGAGCCATGGCCTCGCTAAGGACAGCACAGAGTGCCACAGGTGATGCGGAATCACCCTGTGGCAAACAGTGCACGTTGCGACAGGGGACGCTGCCCATGACTTTGTCAGCGCATATCCAGCGCGTCTGCTGGCACCATGTGCTGCCAAAGGCATGCAGCACGTTGGAGGGAAAGCGCATGCGGCGCAAGGCGGCGAGACAGAACTCGGCGGCCATGGAGTCGAAAGCTTTAGCCAGGTCGGCCGCGCCGACGAACCGGACATCGTCGGTACGGCCACGTCGGCCGGGCAGCTTGCCCCGCTCGAGTTGAGCGAGAGGCTCAAGAAGGGCTGTGTGGACCCCTCTCTTCTTTATGGCGCCATGCTGTTCCGGCGGCATGACACGCTGCGTCCATGAAGCGAGCTGCTGAACACGGGCTGAGGACCACAACCTATACCAGGTACTACTTAGGCTGATGGGGCGGAGGGACTTAAGGGCTCCGGGCTCCTTATTAGTCTTTTGAAGATGGATTTGCTTCCATTGCTTAAGCTGTTCAGGCCAGGGCTGGCCGCCTTCGATGCGAAGGAAGAGCTTGCACGCATGCTGCAACATAACGTCTGGCATGAGCGAGATCTCATAGCCACGCCAACCGTCGATGCCGGGAGCTTTGTGGTGCTGCTTGCGGGCTGCTTGGCGCAGCATCTCGGGGGTGAGTACCGGCAGGTCAGGAGGGTCCTGGTCCGGCCAAGAAGGAGTTTGGGAGGCGAGGCGATCCAGGAGGGACAGCTGCTCGGGGGTGACTTGCTGAGGCCAGATGCCTCGCCAGTACTGCGAGAGTGCTTGCATCATAGCCTCGCCCGCAATGGGTTCACCCGAGCGGGGGCACTTGATGGCCGTCAAAGGAGCGCTGATCTTGTGGCGAGCCAGACGCTTCCAGACAGCACTGTCTTCATGACGAAGTTTGAACTTCCAGGCAGCAATGCGAGCTGCACTTTCGGCCTCTTCCTCGAGGCGAATGGTTTGCTGAATCCAGTCTCTGCAGTTGTCAAGGTGACGGCGAGCGGTAGGCTGGAAAGGACATGACAAGTCGCGACTGTCACGCTGCAAGTGGCAGTACAGGCCAGCCCGGTTCTGCCGGCTTCTGGCGTTGTTCCAGTACTCGACATGCCGGCGCCAGAACCTTTGAAGTCTGGCCAGCTTGACTGTGCGGTGATTACCAGGCTGAGGCACGGAGTGCTTGTGCACCTGAACCAAGCGTGGGGTTTGGAGCTTGACATGTTTAAGGGCTTGCTTACGCTGTTTAGAACTGCTGGGCAAGTGACGGATCAAGGCATCTCTGAAACAGGCATCCAGAGCTGACATGAAAGCCTCCCAAGTATCGTCTGCGGGGCGATACAGCTGCCACAACTCTTCCAGAGTGGAGGTCCAGGCATGGTCGTCTACCACAGACGGCTTTGCATAGTCAGGGACCGGTGCGAGTCTGAGGGTGTGCGGAGAGCACGGGACGGGTCTGTAGCCCGTGTATTGGATCATCTTGTGATCCGCCCACTTGTCTTGCAAGGCCGTTGGCCGGAAGTCAAGGCCCTTTTGGAGAGACCAGTCAAGGCAAGTGCCGGTGTCCCAACGGGTGACTTGCGGTGTCGGGTACAAGTCCTGGGGACAGCCATCGTCGCTATTGCCAGCGTCGGGGATTCTCACAGCGGGGTACTGCAGAGATCCGTGCAAGGTTGCAGCCCAAGCGGCCAGGGACTCGCCACGGGGATCACAGTTGAAGTCCCCCCCGACGAACCAGGCACAACTGCCCAAGGAGGCGAGGTCTGTCATGAGAGCCTCGTTGTAGGCATCCTGCTGCAAGTTGGTGAGGCCAGGTCTGCGATAGGCCGAGACGACGTGCAGCTGGCCGGTTGCAATCCGTATCCACTCCCCCTCAAAGGATCTGTGGCAAGACGCGTGCAGTGCGGGGATGCCGCGGGCAACGGCTATGGCCACCCCGCCCGAGGGCTTAATGCAGCGCATTTTCTGCTCGTTAAGCTGCGTGGCCTGGGAAACACAGTGAAAGAACTGCCAATACTCGTGAGCCTGGGCAACCTGTTTGGCAGAAAGTGTGTCAAGGAAAGTTTCCTGGAACAGGACTATCTCGGCGCCACAGCGCATGGCATAGTTGAGTGCTCTCACCCCCCGTTTGTGGTAACTCCGGAGATTGAGCTGCAGGATTTTGAGCGTGGCAGTGGAAGAAGACTTTCCAGCTGGCGTGACCAGGGGGGCAGACACGACAGCCCCTGATGGCCCCGGGTTGGGCTCGATGCCCTCGCTGCACAAGTTACGAATCCATCCCCCTAAAGAAGAGAAGGAGAAAGCGGAAATTTTGGGCGCATGGGCAGGACATGCTGCTTTGGAAACAGCCAGATCAGGCTGAGCGCCGGGCCATCTGGCGGAGATGCACCTGGGCTGCCAGTCGGAGTCCAGCCTTTCAACAAGGCATGTGAGGCGCAAGTTGTTTGCGTCAGAGTCGGAGTTGGATTGCCCCGTGTCCAGGAGCATTGCAGAAGAAGAGACTGCCCGCAGCAGCTCCAACTTCGTGCGCGTGAATATGGCCGGCACTGTGTGTACAGGATGGAGTGCTGCAGGCAAGGGCTTGCACTTTGCAGATCCATCTGAACGACCACATGCGATATGGGCGAGTGAGCGTGTGGCTCGCGCTGAACAAGGGCTGGAAGATTTCATGATCAGTGAATGTACTCCCCGCTACCCAGTTCAGGCCGGGGCAAGTTCAGGGTTTAGGGTTTAGGGTTGAGGGTTTAGGGTTTAGGGTTTAGGGGTTTAGGGGTTGGGGTTTAGGGTTTAGGGCTTAGGGCTTAGGGTTTAGGGTTTAGGGTTTAGGGTTTAGGGTTTAGAGTGCTGGTCGCGTGTTGTTGTTTAGTCAATGTTGAAGACCGAGTCTTAATCGTATGAGTGAGACTGTGCTGCCCTGCCTTTGTTCCAACGGCACGAAGAACCACCAACAGTTACCAAAGCCCAGAGGCCCAGAGGCCTTTCAGGACCCAGTCATTTTTGTTTTTGGGAGGAGAAGCTCTCTGCCTTGGAGAACACGCACGACGTCTTCAGCATTGTGCTGTCTCCGATGATGCTTGGATGGCCAGTCAGGCGCACGCGTGTGTTTACTTGTGCCTTGAATCGTGAAACTATGGCGTGGTTTGGACCTCCTGCGTCTGAGATCTCTGCTCATTTCATGCAGTTCTTTGAAAGGAGCGTCGCAACAACCGGTGACATTTGCTTGGCTGCTAATGATGCAGAAGTTCGTGCGTACTTGTGTGAAATGGCACGGAAGCGAGGCTTTGAGTTGCCAGAGAACGTTCCTTTGGAGAATGTGCAGTTGCATCACATCTACGCACCAGGCCAGATGGTGCGACTTCAGTCCTACGAGCAGGATCGTCAGCGTCATCTGGCCGAGACGGTTGAGGTTGACCATGCTGCAGTTGGTGCTCTCAGTGCTGTCGACGCTGGCCCTAGTGCATGGTTTGCAGACCTGGAGCAGAATCTGGGCCAAGGTGCAAGCACTCCTTCAGAGATGCTGCCCTCGGCTCTGACTCATGGAACTTTGCACGCTTGGTCAGCAAACAGGCCGGTGCTGCCAATGGAACAGTTTCTGGCGCACGGGTTCAATGTCTTTCCAGACAGAAGCAAATGGAAACGTGCTTGCTTGATGACGGATGCTTTGTCCGATTTTTCTTCCTGCCAGCAGAAGAAGCTCCTTGGCAACGGCTGGCATTTGCCAGTGATTGCTTCATGGATGTTCTATATCATGGCGCACACTGTGAAGCTTGATCGCTCGGTGAGCATACAGCCTGAAAGAACCTTGCTCAGGAAGGGCGGCTCTAGCTTCTCTATCGGCCAGGGAAGTTCAACGCCAGACCTGTCTCTGGCTGCAGATTCCCAAGATGCCTCGGTGCAGGATGAGTAGCAGTGTCCGAACTTCGGTCCGAAACAGAAGCAATAGCTGTGATTCATCGTGGGTAGTTTGCGACTTGCGACCTTGGCATTGCAGCCCTGCGTGAGTGTATCCTTGTCTGTGCTTTTGACTCACAACTTTTGCCTCACAGTGTACAGTCCATAGCTGAAGCACAGCGTGACAAGTGTGACGTGTCTTTTCATCACCGTGACAACAGCAAGAACCAGGCCAGGGGCAGGGGAAGTAGCAGAAGGTAGAAGTCGAAATTAGACATCAGGTGACGGAAGTGAAGAAACCCACTGGCCCAGATCTTGCGTGACTTGCATGCCGCAGATGCGTCAGCCGGCAGATGGATGTGTCAGCAAAATCTTGCATGCCTATGCCTGCTTGCTTAGCTGCGCTGTCAGATGCAGCTGTGCGGGGGCATGGGGGGGGGGGGTGGAGGAGGGGCGGTTGGACGTTGGAGGGGGGGTGGTGAGGTGATGGAGGAGGGGGGGGTGGAGGAGACGGGGGTGAGGGGGGGAGAGAGGGGAGGGGAAGTGGGGAGTGGGGGCTTGCGGGTGGGCGTTGGTCCAGGACACAGACATGTGGCAGGGCCGTGGCGTGCTGCGTGTGTCTTTGTATGCCATGTGGCAGTGCGACAAGTATTGCAGGAATCATCCAAATGAGTGAGTTTGCTTGCCTTGGTATTGACTCTGACTGCTCGCTATGGCCGCTATGACTTGTGGATCTTTCTACTCCGCTCCGCTCAAGGCCACCTTTTGCACATGCTGCGCACATGTGTCGTCTTAAGCAGGAAACAGCAGGCACCTTTGCAGCGGCACTAGGCGTTTGCTGTCGGGAATCGGGAATTCAAATCTTTCCACCCAGGCAAAGTTTCTAAATTCGCAGTAGGAGCAGAGAAGAAGATGCCACCATCTTTTCTAGCTCAGCGAACCTATCTGTTCACTGAAGTCTGTCTCATATGCAATCTTGTGAGTCAGCCTCCATCGTGGAGCCGGCGTGAGTGCCCCGCATTGTGTGGCAGTCATGGATTTTGACCTTGAAATTGACGCCTTCGCGAATGATTGTCCCGACATCGTGACGCAGATGGCTAAGGGGGCCAAGGTGGCCAAGATGGAAGGTGAGCCTTCCTCAGCCTCAGCAGCTCCCAAGGGCAAAGCGAAGGCGAAGGCCAAATCCAAAGGGCCAGCAGTTGTGAAGACATGTTTCATCTTGACTTGCGACGACGAGTGCGTGAAGAGCAAGCGATGGTGCAAGAAGCACAACCAGACCTTTGACAACATGTTTTATCAGGCAAAGAAAGAAAATGAAATCGAAAGCCTTGAGACAGCAATGAGCAACCCCGAGACCGCAACGGAGGCCATGGAAGAGTTTGACGAGGAGAACCCGAGCGAAGGGAAATGGCGACGAAAGAAACTGATTGTTTGGATTCCGGTGATTGAAGAAAAGCATTCAGACAAGGATCGAAGCAAGTCCGTTTATCTTGAAGAAGGTGGGGTTCAAGAGAAACAGCTCAATGCCGAGGACCGCCGTGTGCTGCTTCAGCAGTGCAAGGGCAACATGCGTGGTCGTGACATCGATGGTTTCTTCAACGAGGATGCGGCTGACGCAGCTGCTGAGGCTACAACACCGCCTGCGAAGGGCAAGCGAGCCTTGGAAGAGAGCGGTGAGAAGGTCGAGACGCCAGCAGAAAAGAAAGCCCGCATGAAGTTCGAGAAGCTTGCATCGTCAGGCCCAGCATTCACGGCGTTCAAGACGACTGCCTGCAACAAGGTCTTGGACAAGCTTGGTCTTTGCAGCAAAGCAGCCGAGAATGCCAAGAAGAAGCTTGAGGAAGCTCGCAAGAGTGTCCGGGAGTACCTTGCTCCAAACTCTTCTGAGCAGGATGCTGTTGCGCTTTCGTATCAGTCTTGCCTCGAGGCCTGTGAGGCAGCCTTGAGATGTTGGGAGGTTGACATGCCCTCCCCGAGTGATGCTGATCGGGAGAAGGCCCTTGATGATCTGAAGAAAGCGCTTGAAAGTGTGGGCCCTGATGTCAAGCTCGTGAAGAGTGATGCTAGCTTGATGCCTTCTGTCTACTTCACATGCAGGGCTCATGGTTTGAAGAACCTGACAGATGCGAAGGAGGTCAGTGACATGCAGACCACCCTGATCAAAACCGAGCTTGCGACCGTGGACCTGTTCATGAAAGCATTGCTCAAGATCAGCAGTGACGTGCAGAGCTATCTCAAGCAAAAGAAAACGTCGCAGGAACGAGCAGATGCCAGGAAGAAGAGGCAGCAAGAGGCAGACGAGGCGGTGAAGATGAGGGAGGCTGCCAAAAATGCAGCTGCTAAGGCCAGGATGTTCAGCAAGCTGAGTCACCCAATCTTTGGCATCAAGGATAGCTGCTGGAAGCCGTTTGTTGTGCACTCCGGTCAGGGCTTCGACCCGGCTGCGCATGCGGATGAGCCATGGGTGATGCGTGCCAGTGAAGCCGTCTAGACATGGAGGAATCATGCAGAGAGCAGCGTGAAGCTCATGGAGGTTGGTGGTGGCTACCAAAAGGCTCCATCGGTAAAGACCGATGGCAGGGCCGTGGCGCCTGTCCTGCAGAAGCAAGGGAAGGAGCAAGCAGTCGCCTTGATGACAGGCTTTGCACCGACTGCAAAGTTGTTGGACGTGTCCAAGCTCCAAGACGGGGCCAACTTTCAGGCCAACATGTGGTACTGGGGCTTTGACAGCAAAATGTCTGGAGGCTTCCTCGCTCCCAATGCGGCTGCGATGATCCGAGTGGTTGCCATGGGCGGGGTGAACTTGGTGGCGTTCAACCTGACCAAGCTTGTTGAGCAAATGGACAACAAGGAGCCGAATCTCAAAGATGTGGTCGATTTCGTCCTCAACATGGATGACACCTACATCGCCCAGCATGGTGATGCCAAGCTGGGTTACACAGTGACCCTGGCACAGGACGATGTGTGCTACATTCCGCAAGGATGGTTCTTGGCCGAGCAAAGCACAGGTTGCTTGTTAACGTACGGCATTCGCAAGAGCTACATGATCGACACTCCGCATGTGGCTGAGAACTACAAGACAGCTTTGAGTTTGTTGAAAAGATCCGGGCGTGACATAACCAAGATGGAAGAGGTGGCCAAGCAATTCTCCAAAGACACCGAGCTGGCCCAGACTTCCTGAGCTAGCTTTGTTGTGAGTGGGGCGGGCCGGAGCTTGCAGCAGCAGTTTGCAAGACTTGGGGCCTAGGGGTGCTGGATTCTTTTCGGGAATCCGGACCGTGGCTGAGGGATCACGATGCCGCTGTGTTCCCTGCAGTCTCGACACTTTTGATGTCTTTTTGACCTTTGGGCGAATCTCATCGCCAGCTTGAGCGCTTTGCACAAACTTCATAAGTCGCTCAGTGCACAGATTGATGCCGGCTTGCAAGGCTCCAGGAAAATACACGGGAGGTCATGACATTTTTTTCACAGTTCATGTCTTTCTCTTGTGGCCTCTGCCAAAGGCTGCCCAAAGCTTGAGCTTGAAGAGAGGAAGGAGAGCAGAGAGCAGAGAGTAGAGAGCATAGGCAGTGGACAGTGCTGGCAACACTAGATGACGCGTCACAGCCTCAACTACTTGAGAACAGTCCTGAAGTAGCGACGACAGAAAATCAATATTCTCAAATGACCAAAACGATATGAAAGTCCTCATTTGTGAATGTATGTCAAAGAAGCGATACACATAGCTCATCTTCGACTCTTTGCCCGCGTGTTCAGCCGCAGCCAGATGCAGCTCTACGGGGACGGGGGAGGCAGGGGAGGCGGGGGAGGCGGGGGTGGGAGTGGGCGGGAGTGGGGGGTGGCGGGGGTCCAGGACACAATCTGTGTGGAAGAGAAGTGGCGTGTTGCGTGTGTGTTTGCATGCCATGCCCCCTATGATGTGGCAGTGCGACAATCATTTCAGGAATCGCACGTTCCACTTGAGTGAGTGTGCCTGCCTTGGTATTGACTCTGACTCCCCGCTATCACTCAAGGCCACCTTTGCATGACCTGACCCCAATCCCAAAACCCTCAACCTTAAACTTTCCTTAAACCCTCAACCTTAAACCGTGATTGGCGGCGTGCAGGCAGGCAACCCCAGTGTCAAACCAGGCGTGCGATCCACATGTGGAAACTTGAAGTGTGGGGATGCTTTTTGAGTTTCCATTTTCATGATGCTTTGACATCTTTACTTGCGTGCTGAAATAGAGTGCGCATCCCCCGCTCCTCTTGCTAGCTGCTGCAGCTCCGTTCACCAGCTCCCGTCACAAAATGCCGTTGCGCACCGTGGGCAGGGGATGGGGAAAGGGAACCTTTCGGATGCAATGTCTGTGACACATCTGCGCCGCTGGGCGCACAATTACCACAGGTCGGTTTTGTGCGTTCAGCGGAAATACAAGCCACAGATCTTCCCAGGATCACGCGGTTGCCTTGCAAGCCCTGGATTCACGGAACGGTGCCTCTAAGACATGGAAACCCTGCCTGGGGCATGTTGGTAATGGGTGGCTAAACCAGAGAGCCCGACACACAAGTTAGCAACGCCAGCCGTAGATTTATGGGGATTGGAGCTTAATATAGGGGCTTGAATCATGAGAACAGAGTTTAGGTGTATATTATATACCGCATCGGGCAAAACCTTTGCATTGCGTGCCCAGCGAAGCCCCATTCTTTCGGACTCAAACCTTGCAACCCTTGTCTACCTAAGCCCGAAGCCCCAGGCTAAACCCCGAAGCCTTAAATCCTAAGCCCCTAAACCCCAAGCCCACAACCCTAGCCCGAAGTCTCCCGAGCTTGAGCCTCCGGCGACGCCGTTGTAGGGTTCAGGAGCTATGGGGACTTGGGCTCTTGTGATTTGTGATGCGGGGTTGTGTGTCTTTCAACCTGAATTTCCGCAGGCGTTGATGTCCCAAATTATGGTGCTCCGCGGTACCGATCGTTGTGTCCTCTTGGGCCCGAGACATTAACCGGGGCACTTCTCCAACCGGAAGAATCCCGCCA